GGGGGGGGTATGGCCTAGTTTTGGGTCAGGGAAGGCCAGAAAGCCAGTTCAGATGGCAGAGTCAAAACCTGGAAGTTGAAATGGCTAAGTAGGGGAACAGAGTAAAGAACCATTCCTTGGTCATTCCCCCATTAATTTATTCAACATAATTTGTTGACCACCTACTGTGTGCCAGGCCCAGGGTTACAGAGATGAAAAAGCAGGCTGGCCCCTGCCCTCAGGGCTCATGGTCCTGGCAGCAAGGTGAATTCATAAGGAATTCAGCCTGGTGAAGAGGGCTTCCAGTCAGAATCTGAAATGGCTGTTGAAATTAGGCTCCAGGGAGGGACTTTGTTCCTAGGGAATAGCACAGAGGTTTCAGATTGCTTCCCCCTGGGCAGATTTCAAGTATCTCAATGGGTTTAGACTGACTTGCATCAGGTTTGCTCCTGGGGGATTGGTGAGAGCTCTGGTATGCAAGGTGTGGGGCCAGGGCCTGGAACTTGGGCCCAGTGGCCATGGGGAGCCATGGAGGTTGGGTGAGGAGGGAAGGGGCACCCTCGGATCCCAGTGCTGGGAAGGACGCCTTCCCTGTCACAACTCCAGTAACATGAGCCCTGACCCCAACCATGACATTCTAACCAGTCCTTGACTGACGCCACCCCCCCATATGACCCCGCTTCTGCCCACGCCCTTAGGTGCCCCCAAGTCCCCTCGTCAGCGCCAATGGCCCCGGAGACGAGAAACTGTTCCGCAGTCAGAGCGCCGACGCCCCTGGCCCCACAGAGCGCGAGAGGCTCAAGAAGATGCTGTCAGAGGGGTGAGGCTGGTAGAGAGGGGAACAGGGGCGGAGCAGGACGAAGGGCGGGAAGAGGAGCTTCTTAGAAGCTGCTGGGGCACGACCGGCGGCGGATCTGACTGGACCCAAAGCCTGGGAACCAGAAGGCTGATCCTAATCCTGTTGCTTCCAGAGCCTACAGTGCCCCTCAAACGCGCCTCTGCTTTGACCTCGTCTTCCCGCGGCTGACCCCGCCCCCGACCCTCCACCCCTGGATAATTCTAAACCTACCGGGGCCTCCCAGTCCCACCCCTTTCTGGCCATGCCCCCATGGGCTGACCCCTTGCATTCCCACTGTCTCTCTTAGCTGACACCACGCGCCTGATCTGACCCCGCCCCCAGCCCTCTGTAGCACCGCCTACACTGACCCCCGCCCCTAGCTCAGTACGCCCCACCCCAGCACCGCCCATTCTAACCCCGCCCCCTAAAGTCCAGCGCTGCCCACAGTGACCCTGCCCCTGGCCAAGTGCGGACCCCTAGCCTAGCGCCTGGCGTGATCCTGCCTTGTCCCCACAGCTCGGTGGGCGAGGTGCAGTGGGAGGCCGAGTTCTTTGCGCTTCAGGACAGCAACAACAAGTTGGCAGGCGCCTTACGAGAGGCCAATGCCGCCGCCGCCCAATGGAGGCAGCAGCTGGAGGCCCAGCGTGCAGAGGCTGAGCGGCTGCGGCAGCGGGTAAGGGAACCTCTCCCTCCCAGAGACCCCAAGTGGCTCATCAACTGCCCTGCCTCTACCTGTCATGTCTGTCCTAGGTTCACAGACAGGCTGTGTGATCAGGTCACTTTCCCGAGCCTCAGTTTTGTGCTCTGTAAAATGGGTCTGAAATAGAGCCCACCTCAGAGGGGTGTCAGATCCCAAAGTCCTCCCTGCCAGGGGTGGATGGTAGCTCCAATCAAAGAGGACTCCAATCAGTCCTAGTCATGGGCAGGACTGAGCAGGAGGCAGATTCCCCAGGGAGTGGCTGACCTTCCTGTCCACACAGGTGGCTGAGCTGGAGGCCCAGGCAGCCATGGAGCCACCCCCAGTCAGCGAGAAGGAGGGGCCTGGCCAGGCGCTGGAGCAACTGGAGGCCCTAGTGCAAACCAAGGACCAAGTGAGCACTAAGCGTGTGTCTATGCATGTGTGTCCCCAGGCCTCCCCTTCCCTGACCTCCCATGAGGGAGCCAGGACCCCCTGCACAGGCCCTAGGAACTCTTCTCCACTAGGAGATCCAGACGCTGAAGAGCCAGGCTGGTGGGCCCCGCGAGGCCCCTGACACAGTGGAGCACGAGGAGACACAGCAGAAGGTGCAGGTGTGTGGGGTGACCATATTTACAGGCAGCCAGCCTCTGGTGTGGGACAAACCTGTGATCTTTCCTTCCTGGCGGGTCCCCCTGAGCCAGTTTCTCCACCTGTAAATGAGGTTAGGAAGACATCTACCTAAGGTTATGAATAGGATTAGGAAAACCAGATGTGTGGAATATCTGAAGTGATTTGTAAACGGTTGTAATTGATACAGTGTTTTATATGCATCCATTTATTCAACAATTCTTGAGTCCTTGCTGAGTTCCTGTTTGACACCATTGGGGCCTCACACATCCCCAGCCTAAGGTCAGAAGCCTGCATTTGAACTTAGGTCTAGCTGGCTTGGCTTTAGCTAAAGACTTTATCCAAGAAACGTTCATTGGGCACATCCTGTTAGTCTGCAGATTTAAAGTATCTGGTGCCTCCAAAAGTGTCCTGGGTAGAGAGACGCTGGGGAAATGCTCCCTATTGACTCCTGTGCAGAGTGCACAGCATGTGCAAAAGCCCTGAGGTGGGGAGGAAATCAGAGTGTTCAAGGAACTACAAAGAGGCCAGCGAAGCCGGGTTGGAGTGAGAAAAAAAGAGGGAGGAGTATGGACTTCATCCCCAGCCTAATGGGTCATAGGAGGGAGAGTTTTCAGAAGAGGGACAGGATCAATTCTGTGGTTCTCAAATTGATGGGGGACCAGGGAGTCTTGGGCAGAGGTGGCAGGGAGGAGGCCAAGGAGACAGAAGGGGTTTGGCCCAGAGTGGGGTTTGTGGTTATGGTCCTTAGGTGCTGGATGCCCCAGGTAGGGCTGATGAGCCTGGACACTTGTGAAGGCCCCCAAACCCGTCTGGCTTTTTTCTGCAGGACCTGGAGACTCGCAACACGGAGTTGGAGCACCAGCTGCGGGCAACAGAGCGCAGCCTGGAAGAGGCACGGGCTGAGCGGGAGAGGGCGCGGGCTGAGGTGGGCCGGGCTGCACAGCTGCTGGACGTCAGGCTGTTCGAGCTGAGCGAGCTTCGTGAGGGCCTGGCCCGCCTGGCTGAAGGAACCCCCTGAGCCTTGAGCCCTGCCACTGGTCCACATGGGAGGTGGGCCTGTGGGAGGGGGTTTTACATGAATGCTTCCCGCCTGGAGCGCGGGCCGGCCGCAGGCGGCACAGCAGGCCCTTTGCCCTGGCAGGGACGGGGCCAACTCAGCCTAGGGAGGGCCTGGTCACTCACAGCTCAGAGGCTGTTTGGGGCTTTTCGTTGAGTAGGATTTCTAGACTCTGGGGCGCGTGCTGGTGCCCAGATTACATTTCTAAGCGTGGCTGTGTGTGTGTGGTATGTGGGTACCCGGGTACCTCACCGCCGTCACTGGACCTTTTCCCGCCTCCTCACGTGCACCTTAGTTGCCCTCCATCCATATAGGTCTGGGAAGCCACTTGCAGGTGAATAGGTGAGGCTCAAGGGCCTGAGGGGCATGCCCAGGCCACACAGCTCTGCTTGGCCCTGCTGCCCCCATCCCCTGGGGCTCAGCCTGTGTTGTCTAGACCAGTTTGGACTTAGGTGGCCCCTGGTTAAGCGCCCCTACCCTCTGGCTACAAACCCCAAATTTGACGAGGTGGGCAGCCAGGGAAGCTCCTAGACCACAGCCCTGTTCACCAGGCAAGGGAATGATCCCACCAACCTCATGGCCACATTTGGAGAGGTCTAGTTGCGATGCCCATTTTCTCGATGAGGAAACCGAGGCCAAGGGGCTTCACCAACCCACGCTCATCCAGTGGGAACAGCCAGCACTGCAGTTCAAACCTTGCGCCTGGCCCGATGGGAATGGAGAACTGTGGGTGGGGTGGAGTGACATGAGCTTCTGGGGGACTTGAAAGGCACAGGTGGCCATACCTTCCTCCCCTGCCCCTGCTCCCCGAGAATCAGACTGGGGAAGTCAAAAGGCATATTTATTGAATGCCTTCTGCAAGTGACACATCTTCACTCTGAGGCCCCATGGTACCCCCCTGCAGTGACCCTGGGCCAGTGGGGTCACTGTGTGTGGAGCTGGGCCCAACCACGTAGCCAGTGTTCTTTCCTCCTCTGCAGCCTGAGTCTTGGCCAAGGCTCTGAGAAGAGGCCAGCCAGGGCCACAGGGTGGAGGACCCATATACTGCACAACGTAGATGTCCATGGGCTCCGCTGAGCGGGGCTGGGCAGGTTAGGAGGGGAGGCTGTCCCCAGGGGAGTACCCTCTAACCCTCAGCTCGATGAAGGAGTCCCAGGCTGGGCAGGCAGGGGATGTGTAGAACTCAGGCTGGGCCCTGGGCGGGCCTCAGGCCGAGCCCTAGGTGGATGCCCCCTACGGCCAGCCCTGCTGGCCTTCTGCTGCTGCAGCGTGTGCTCCACCTGCTCCTTGAAGCGCCGGTTTTTCTGCTTGATCTTGGCCAGCTCAGCCTTGCGCTTGGCTTCCAGGTCAGGGTCCTGGCTCGGGGAGGACGGGCAAGTGGCTGAGCTAGTCATCCCCCCTCCCTTGGGAACCCTGCCCCCTGCCCCACCTGTCAGCCTAGCCCTCACCTTCCCTTCCAGGATCAGCTGCTTCCGCTTGTTGATTTCCTTCTTTTCGTCAAAGTTGGCTGCCTCCAGTTTCTGGGGTTGGGGAGGAGGGAGAGACCATTATGAGGGTCCCCATCATGAAGGGAGCACCCTAGACCCCAAGGACCAGCTCCCCAACACTCACAATCTCACATTCCCTCCGCACCACGTTGACCTGTGTGAGAATCTGCAGCACCTTGGCCTCCTCCACTGAGAATTCCTCCAGCTTCTTCTCTGTGGGGACAGTCAGGACCCAGGGTGAGGGCAGGGCAAGGCTGACACAACAGGGAGAGAAATTCCAGCCACACAGCGAGTTCCCCATGTGGTGGGGCATGCAAGGCATCCAGGGTCATATCAGATAAAGGTCAGGTGGGCAAGATCTGGGATTCCAGACCTAAGGAAGGTATAAATTGCTCTTGTGGTTACCAACAGTATGAGTTGGACTGGGGGTAAATTTTTTTTTTTTGGGGGCTACAGTGTTCTTTAAAGTCAAGGTGTTGGTGAATTTTAGGACAGTCAGTATGGTGACTGGAGATGCTCCAGTGGTGCTTGCTTGGTCTTGGCTACACATTAAACCGCCTAAGAGGGATTTTAAATAGGCCCAGGTCTTGTACTTGGGGCCTCTGACCCATCCACAGGGACCAGCCACACTGCCTGGTCTCAGAAACTAAAATCCCTGCTCAACAGATGTGGCTTTTGGCTGGAGATGGCCATTATGGGGAGCTTCTGTTTCAATAACTTCTTTGGGGGTTGCATAATATAAGTGCAGTTCAAGTCTGCTCATGAGAGAAGGTGGGCGTGTGTCCCACCCTTGCCCCACCCCCTTACTCACTGATCTGCTCCTCAATGGCGTGTACCAGGTGGATGTCATATTGTGTCACCAGGGTGATGGCTTGTCCCTGCCGCCCTGTGAGGATGCACCATAGTTACCTTGTATGCCGGGATCCAGGATAAGGGATCAACATAGGCTGATCAGGGCTCCTCTCAATTGAGAGGAGCAGAATTTGTTGGGTAGATGGGGACAGGTAAAGGAAGCCCAGGGTCTCAGGGCTTGCCCAGCCAGACCTCTGGATAATGGGTGGGTCTGTCTCAGGGGAGCTGCAGAACACCAAGGAGAGGCGGCTCTCCAGTAAACTTGGCCAATTTCCCTTCTCAGCGTGGCTGCCAAGGAGCCCAGGCTGAGTTATGTCAGCACTAAGCCCTGACAGGCCTCAGCCCAGATCTCTGCATACTAGTTTCTCCTTCCCCCATTTTTGTGACAGTGATGAGTGCTGGACCAGCACTGACAGCTGATGAGGCCCGTGATCAGAGCAGCCCCAAACAGGCATCACGTTCTCATTACCCAACATTTGACAAAGCAGTGAGGCCCAGAGAGTTGATGTGATCTGTCTGAGGCCACAGGGCAGGAGAGAAGGACCAGGCCCTAGAAATCACGTATCTCTACTCTAGGCATGAGAAAAATCTCACAAATGCTGTGCCCCTCCCTGGCAGGGCTTGGGAGCAGAGAGATGGACACCTCCTTGGCCCCTGGCCAGGGTCACAATGAAGGGCCGAACCTGGACACCAACCCCCCCTCCCCCCGCACTCCCCCAGGGCAACATCACATCCACCAGGGTTCATGCACTGGAGTGAAGCAACAGGGAGTGGTGGGGACTGGGGCAGTGTGTGCCATGTCCCTAGGAGACAGCATGTAGGTCACACAGAGAAGCTTTTGAAAGGACAATTCCCCAACTTGCAAATACCGCCTCTAACATTTCTCACCTGTGAGGTATAGCCCCCCGCCCATGTCCTATCAGCTCATAACTTTGGCTCCTTGTAGTGTGGGCAGGCTGAAGGGATAGGGATGGGTCCCCAAAGGCCACCCACCCCACCATGTCTGCTCACCTGCACGGGCCGTCCGGCCGACTCGGTGGATGTAAATCTTTGGGAGCCCAGGGGTGTTATGGTTGATGACCACCTGCACAGTAGGTATGTCCAGGCCCCTAGAGGCGGAGGCTGGTCAGCATCAATGTCCATATGGGGAAACCAAGGCTGGAACTCATCCAAGGTCACTTAGCAGTGAAGCTGGGGCTGCCCAATCCTTGCTGGAGATCAGCCTCCCCTCTGGCCTCTCTGTGGGGCATCACTGAGCCAGCACAGGGGAGGGAGCACCCTGGGCCACTCACCTGGAGGCTACATCAGTTGCAATCAGGATCCGATAGATGCTAGACTTGAACTTGGCCAGGGCAGCAAACCGTTCTTTCTATGCCAGGTTGGGGAGACAATTGGGGAGGCTGGGGTCAGGTAGCATTTGGCAAATGTTTGAGCACTTACTGTTTGAGGCCTGGGGACAGGGCGGAGGCCAGGATGGTCCTGCCCTCACAGGGCTCAAAGTCCACGGCAGAGAGCGGTGGCAGGAAGAGTGCTCCAGATAGAGGGAGGAGCCTGGGCAAATGCGCTGAAGCTGGAAGGAGTCTCAGCAAGTCCGGCAGGCAGAGGTCTCCTCACCTGTTTCATCATAGAATGCAGAGCCACAGTGGGGAAGTTGAACTTCCGTAGCATCATGCACAGGATCTGGCAGGTCCTGGCAGGAAGGACACACTGTCAGTCCCTCTAGCATCAGGGTCCTGGAAAAGCGCTCCTGCCCCCGCCCCTGCCCCGGGACCCCAAGCAGGTGGCCCTGCACAGCTGAAAAAGGACAAGCAGAAGTGCAGGGTTTCCTGCCCGTTAACATCCTCTCTGCTGACTCCTCCCCTGGCCTAAGCCAACAAGAGTCAGCCTTACATCCAGACTTTCCTGGTAGCCAATCCATTCTTGGGGGGCAGTGCCAGTTAGGAGGCCCCCTCAACGTGCTATGGAGTACCCACCTTACTGGTTTATGCTAGAACAGTCTACAGCTTCTTGAAATCTCCCCATGTGCTTCAGAGGATTCTAAAGTCCCGTGGGACTACAGGGAGGGACAGCCCCAGGTGTGGGTACTGCTGCACTGGGCCTCAGTGACACCCCTAGACCACTGTTTCAAGGCTAGCGAGAGCTCAAGGCCACAGGCCCTTCAGGTTAAGGGAGAGTCTGATGAACCCCAAATCCTGGTGCCACGTTTAGGAGGGGTAACCTTGGTGGGTGGCTTAATCTCTCTGAGCGTCCTTAAGTGAATCCTCCAAAACTTCTCGTCTAAGCAGAGGTCCTGGAGTGCCGAATGCCTCCTGCCTGTGACTTCAGGCCACATCTTAGGCTTCCATGAAGGGCTATGGGAGAGGGGGGGATATGCGGCGGGGAAAACACTCGCTCACTTGCACGTGTTAGTAAAGATGATGATGGACCAGTCCTCGTGCTCGTCCTGGAAATTCTGGATCAGGTGGACCAGGTAGGCGTCCTTGACCTTCTCAGGTACCAGCAGGTAGCGCTGGTCCAGCTGTTCTACCGTGCGTACTCTGGGGATGGACATGCTTGTTTCCCCTTCTGATGAATTTGGCTAATGCCCCGCCCCACCCATGGGCAATAACTTCCATTGGGTGTAACCCCCCTGCCCCCACCTGCTGCCTGCCCTCCCCCACCAAAAGTGGCTGTGGACTCACGGGGCCTGAGCCTCCCAGAAGAAGGGCTGGTTGGTGGCCAGGCCCTGCAGCTCCTTGAGCGTGTCGGTAAGAGTGGCACTGAAGAGCAGTGTCTGCCTGCGGGCCGGCACGGCTGCCAGGATAGTCTCCAGGTCCACAGTAAAGTCAGTGCAGCCCTGCTCCAACAGCCGGTCTGCCTCGTCCATGACCTGCAGCACCGGCAGCAGGGGATGAGGATGGGGGTTTGGGGTGAGGGCACTGTCCAAGGCCGGCCTGCCTTCCCCATGTGCCTCCTTCCCAGCCTTGGCTGTGGGCCTGAGAGCACTCTCCCTCAGTGTCTTGGAGGCCTTGCTCCCTCACCTGTCTCAGCTCCAATGTCACCTCCTCAGAGGCTCTGCTCCCAACCACTCTCGCTAATACAGGTCACCTCTTGTGGGTCTCTGAGCTGTCCTTATTATGTTCCTAATATTCTACTAGATGGCCTGTGGGACATGTTTCCCAAATGGATGAATCAGTGGCCAGGCCAACTCACCAGGAAGCGGATCTTCTTGATACTGAAGGTGTTAGAGCTGCGGAGGTGGTCAGCCAGGCGCCCCGGCGTGGCGATGACCACGTGTGGTTTCCGGGAGAGCTCCAGGGCCTGGGCCACCATGTCTACAGGTAGAGGGCAAGAGGTGGGGCTGGGTGGGTGGTCCCAGGCTGCAGGGGTCCCACACTCAGAGCCTCCCTGGGGCCCTCGTACCCATGCCGCCAACGATGATGCAGTCCTTCAGGCCCAGGGGCTTCCCCAGGACCCGGAACTGCTCTGCGATCTGGTAGGCCAGCTCCCTGTGGGTGTAAAGGAGACGGGCTGGGTCAGAAAGGGGTTCTGTGCTTGCCTTACATTTCCATCTCCACCCCCAGGGCCTCCTGTCTCACTTTCTCCTGTTCACACACCCTCCACAGCTCCCAGTCCCCTTTAGACAAAAGCTCTGACACCGAACATTGGAGGGATGTGTGGGCTCTGCTCCCTCACCAGACTGGGTCCCAGAACAGTCCATGGCCCCACCCCTACCAGTCGCACCCAAACTGGCCTCTTCTCCTCCCATGTCCTCAGCAATGGCCCTGACACCAGTTACCAAAGCCTGAAACCTGAGCATTAGTCCCCCCTTCCCTG